TGGGGAAATTTGCTAGCCATGTAAGCGATTTCGCTATGACAACAGATAAAGCTAACTATCAAAATGTTTTGATTGCGATTGCCAATGCTGAAATCGTCTAAAACGGTTTGGGGAAATCAGACATCATTGCAGTAGGAACACGGACACATGAAAAGGGAAAGAGGAGGATTATATGTTAAACGGAGTCTCTGGCAAACGTATCATGACAAATACCGCATGCTTCGATGTATTGAGAAACTGAAATAGAAAGGGTAGAGGACAGCCGTTAGGAAGAGAAACATATCTTTGGGTGCTGCTGAGTTAAATGACGGATATATGGTATGAATACTGCGAAAACTCCACTTAAAGCGTTTAAAAGATTTGCCAAATTCGTGTCATCAGCTACGATGCAGTTATAATGAGAGTAATGGGCGATCCTTTCCAAATGTGTGCAATATTTTCATTTAAATTGTTAAATTAAGGTTAGATTTTAAAATCATATTTCATATGTGACAGAAGAAATTAGGTATATCTTAATTATATATTTGAGGGTAGTTACCAATTACAACATTTCTTCACATAAATAATAAACATCATATTTATACTAAATTTCAATCTCTGTAATGATGATTCTTTTAACAGTGTTGTAATCATGACCCAGTGTATATTTTACTAACATGCATAGTCTACATGCAGTTCGTCTTCACAATAATCGGATGGTCATAATAGTCATGACAAAGTACATATATAATTTCTGTAGTCCAAGCTTTATATGGTTCCTTGTTTGAAATTGATGTTTCAGTTTTTCACACAAACAAGTCAATAATGTCATTCTTTTTCTATTAATATCAATAGATACCTGCATCAAACACTGTAATAGTTATATTTGATATACTTGTATGATAGTGCATGTTTACTTTATTATACATCACACATGCAAGTAGTCATTAACAAAGGTATAATCTGATAAATCTAAAAGCAAAATACTTGCATAAGGCATATCTGCATTGGAATGATTGTTTGGTTAAATTTGCATTTATGTGATAGCAATATTTAATTTTAATCATATTTTCTAGGTCATATTTATTCCAAATAAACCGACTTAATGCTTCAGTTGTCTTTGAGTACTGTTGAATGAAAATCGGGATATAAAGCTATAACTGCTTAGTAGGTGAAAATATAGTTTCAGGTACTAAAACAAGAGGATACAGACATCATTTCAGTTCATTAATGTTTCACACACATCCGCTTTGGGTAGTCAGTATGATATTTTGTTTGTTGAGACAAATCTCTGTAATTAAGTACTTATTTTGAGAGCATTATTTGTTATCAATATTTTGAAAGAAATGGATCAATAAATTTACATATGCACTGAACAATGACTCATAGAACTGACAGATGGACACGTTTTATAAGGGACAGGATATTATGGGTAAATCTTCTATTTAAAACTACATGTATGATGGCCAGTATCTATACTGAAACTGAAGTGACTGCTTAGGTGATACATGCATGGTACGTTTTCATTCAGGTTAGGTTAAGAATATGTTGTCACAAATTAGTATAAAGTGGAACCAGATGTGAGAAATGCTGTTGCTCAATGGTTTATTACCAACTTTTAACTTCTACACGTTATTGCTTCAATTGTCAATAATTAATGGTTGTATCATAATCATCAATCCGCGATAACGATGTGCCCGCGTGCTGGATGTTAGCATATGTCCGATAAAATATTACACTCGGTCAGTGGTAAAACTGCTTGTTAGATTTGAATGCAGCAGTTGTGAATTATTTCATGGATCCGTTGTTACCCATCAGTTCTGACGTAGGAAGTGCCGTGACAATATACCAAGTTTTTCATTGCTTTTTCCCATTTATCTCCCATCGGGTTGATTCGTTTTTACTTGTAGATGAAACAAACGATGATGTTGTAAAGTACCACCACTACACAAAATGTGTCAGTTGAAGGTTCTCAAAAGGTCAACAATATTACGCGTGAGCTGTCCCCTACCTTTACATGTTGTAAAGCACATTGAGCATACCGAAGCAGGAAGTTACACAATTTCAAAAGGAGAGTTATCGCCGTCCGGAAAGAATTAATGCCCAGTGTCGCTTGACAGGTATTGGGACGTACAGTTAACTTCATAAAAGAGGCTCGGGTAGTTGTACTGTTAACCACACGCTTGGGTTGAAGGTGTGTGTGTATAGATGTGTATAAACATGATTGCGGTGAAAGTATTTGCTTAAAAAACATTTACAGGTTGCTTGTATTGCAACAAAGCTTTATGGAATCTATTCACCTTAGTGTATTAAATGGTTTTGTGAGATAACTGGACAGTAGTGACATGCCTATATTGGCTCGATGTGCGGCGGGAACACGCATCTTGCAAATGAGTTTGACGAAATATTTACTACATGTATGTTGAAGGAGAAATGCATTTGTTACATTGTCGGGAGAAACAGATACACGAAACTAGAGTTGTTAAACTGTGCCAGAGAAACTCAGTGTCGACGAGGATGACTGATCTACTTATTGACGTATACTAGGTGGAGTTTTTCATTGTTGTGGTAACTATTAATTACTCTTTGCGAGTGTATGTGTTATTTGGATTTAATTTTGTAAAATGTACAAAGTATGATGCTAATGTCCTCTCGTGATCATTCTGGGGACATACTTTGCTTGTTGTGGATAGTTAACTTTAGGTAAGTCACTTTGTAAGTAATGCACAACGTTCGCCTGGAATATGTTAGTGTGGACCAATATAGAGAAAGTTAAAGTCAGACCATACCAATTTGGCAGGGACCATAGTAGCATAGTAGCATATTTATGAATCCGGAACCACTTCAGTACGGGCCACATTAGTACGAACCAGTTCAGTAAGGACCAATGTTTGCAATCAATATCGCTTAAGTTAGACCAGTTTGGTAGATACCATAGTAGCATGGACCATTTGAGTCCGGGCCACTTCAGTGCTGAATACTTTACTACGGACCAATGTTCATAATCAATATGGCTATAGTTAGAGCAGACCAACTGGTTGTAGGGAACATGTGAATCTGGATCCTAAGTGATTCACTAGGGATAACTTAGTGGATAGCTTGAAGTGCTGGATCGAGCCCACATGTGACCAGGTGTAAAAACCTTGCAGTCAACATGTGCAGACTCTTTGTGTTTTCACAACTCCTAGTGTACAGTACACAGACGTGTGCACTTAAAAGAACCCACGAATCCGTTGCAAACACGTCGTGGTGGGTACAATTACGTGCAGTAAACTTGGACAAAGTACTGTGACTATGTATCCCAGTCCACCCAGCTGTGAATGGGTACCTCCTGTAAGGATGGGAAAGCCACACTAACTCCTCGGTGCGCCTAGTGGCTGCAAAGAGTTGTATGATCTCCAGGAGTTGAGATTGATAATACGACGTGCCGTTGAGACTGACATCCAGTAACTGAGGGAAAAAACAAAGCGCCTTTGAGCAGCTGAGCTGGTTATGTGTGCTATACAAATGTTAGCATAATAATAATACGTACAAGCCGCGCTATTATGCCCATTTCAGTTCAAACGCTAGTCAGCGGCTTTAAATTTTCCAAATCAATAACTAACTATACATTTCTGCAGTAAATGTAAACCGCATAAAGTTCCAGAACTGTTTTAAATGGCACTCCCATCAAAGTTGTCAAGGAGGCCAAGTTCTTGGGTCTGATTTTCGAGTCCCATTTAACTTTTCTTCCACATATCAAATACCTAAAAAAAAAATGTCTGGAGGCACTTCACTCACTGAAGTCGTTTCCAATTGAAAGTTGGGGGTGGGGGTGAGGATGGCGATCATTGGTCCGACTGAAACTTTACTATGGCTCCATCGAACATAGTGGAGCCTGCAAAAGCAAGCTAAAACTATTACATTCTGTCCCCAGCCAAGATTTAAGGCTTTGTCATGGGACGTTCAGAACTTCACCTATTGACATGTGAGTCTGTACGTCGTGGCTGATGAGCCATCTCGTAACTAACGCCATATATAATTAACTTTACAACATACCACAAAACTATATTCTAATGAGTCTAACCCTCTATATAACTTTAATCCCCAAGGAAGATCTGTGCAGCAAGAAGTCTTCTCTTGTGCCGCTCTGAGACTAAGAGTCAAATCTTTCCATGGAGTAACATTTACCCTTAACATGGCAGTACCGTTCTTCATTTCCTTCATGAGTGAATAAACGTTGTAAATTTTCGGTGAATTACATTGAAGGTGGAACTTGATCCACAAAGGTGGCTTTACATCTCATCTGTTCTCAGTACTTGCTTTTCAATATGGTATTCCATTCCGTCTTCTTCTTATTTACGTGGCTCCACCCATTCTGTAGGACATTATTTCGAGTTCTCATACCAACATACAAAGAACATTGAACTGATTGGGCTTAAGCAGCCTATATGCTGTCAATATCTTTGTCAGTGAACTCACAACTACCACTGATATGTTGCTCTTCCTGACGGATTTTATTTTAAAATCACTTTTTTATGTCTCCCACTGCATCGAAGCATGCGGTATTTGTCATGAATCCATTTATCATATACTCCTCTTGTGAACACACAAACTGATACTCGCATCAACATGATTTATTGAATTGAGACTTTGGGAAGTTTAATTAATTAATTATACAGTTGACAGAGCTGAAGTGTTGATGAGGTCAGAAAACAAATAACAAACAATAGCTTTTATGACATTTAGAAAATGTACATCAGGTTTCATCAGCATTTCCTTATGAGACACTGTCATATAGCAGTGAGTGAGTGAGTTTAGTTTTAGCAATATTCCAGCAATATCACGGCGGGGAACACCAGAAATGGCTTCTACAATTGTACCCACCTAGGGAAGCGAACCCGGGTCTTCGGCGTGACGTGTCTGACCCTGACTCGATTATTTACAGACCGCCGCCATATAGCTGTAATATTGCTGAGTGCGGCGTAAAACAACAAACCGACCCTGCTTACCGTGCTGTTATGTATTTTATTTTGAATTGCAGATTGAGAGTACCTTTGAAATTGCACAGTTCATCGAAAAGCAAATTCTTTCAAATCTGTACACAACGGACCCTGAAAAGTTCTGGACAATCTTCCACCAAATGATAGCAGATGTTCCAGAAGTGCCACCGAGTTTCTACAACAGCCAAATGTTGGATACATCATCGGTAAGACAACATGAAAATAAACCAGAACACGTTAAAATTATGTATCTTAAGTTTGGATTTCCTTCTGAATTCGTTACATTGGACATACATCTATACAACTTGTACCTCGTGTTTTGGCATAGGGTGGAATTAGGAGATAAACATCATGTGTTGGCCAATTTCCGGGTAAGTTATTGAGCATTTAAAGCACGGGAATTCATTTGAGACTGGTAATGCTCGCTTGAGAGCCGCCGAATTTTCCTTACTATCCTTCAAAAGCCGCCCTCATCTCCAGCATTTTGTTCCCCGCGACATCCGCTTCGGCCGTACGTCATTTTAGATTCTGCCATGGTGTTTTACAGGACGATATGCATCAAAAGCAGTAACGCTAACTGCAAGCGGCGAACAGCAGACGCCACGGTAATGGAAAGCAACGCCCTCTGGTGCTAACGCAATCAACGGAAGTAACTCTAATATACCCAAGACACTTAAAAGCGCCCAGCAGCTAAAGGGGTGCATCTCTTGTCACCTTACCGTGAAGGAATATTTTAATTATTAAAATAATTCTTTAAAGTACGGAATTCATTTGGAACCGACGGCGTTAAAATTGCCCAACACATGATGTTTATGGACATTGCAAACAAAAAAATAAACCACATGGATTTTTCTGTCTTCACTCATTGACATCGAGTACGGGTGCATCAGTGAAGTGTCATCAGCTGGCCTTTTCAGCTGGTTCTCATGGTATCATCTGGAATTGTTCCTTTGTGACGTCATTCGTCACAATGTGATTTGAATGACGTCGCCACTGTTGACGACGCAACAATATAATTGTGTGCGATATTTGTACGTGTCAATATGCAAAAGTGAATAGTCTTGCAATTTCCGGCAATCGGATACCATATTTTTTCAACCAGTCAGATTAAAGAACACGGTGACTTTTGGTTTACAATATTATATCAATATAAGGCAGCTACATGGATAATGTACACACATACCTATACACCCTATTGATCATGTACCCGTGAAAGAATTGGTCTTCAGTAACCTATGCTTGTTCGTAAGAGGCGACTAACGGGATTGAATGGTAAGTCTCGCTGACTTGACACATGTCACCGTGTTTCAATTACAGAGACTGATGGACATTCTTTTTGATGACTGGATTGTCTGGCTTTATTATTCAGCCCCCGTATAGCTGGAACATTGTGGCGTGAAACAAACAAAACACAATATACTTGGTTTTCTCCACACCTACAGAATTTTGGAACTTCTTCACAACAGGCATAATTCAAAATGAACTCATTGGTTTTATCTTAAGTTTGTATCTACAAAATCAGTAAAGGTATGATCGTGTCACTTTGATCGTTTTTGTTTGCAAACCTTTGTCGATTGGCAGAACTTCTGTGCTCCGTCAGGAATTAAAATACTAACTCTTTATAGGCAAATTGTGTGATAAGAAGGGATAAGTGAGAAAGTTAGTTTAAGTTTACACCGCCTTCAGCGATATTCCAGCAATATCATGCGGGAGGCACCAAAATGGGCTTAGCACATTGCACCAATGTGGGAAATCAAACCCGGTTTTCAGCGTGACGACTGAACGCTGTAATCACTACGCTACCCCACCGCCCTGGATGGGGAGAAGGGTATAGCAAGACAGGCTGGCCTGTTTAGCCAACACCTGGTGTCATTACTGTTTTACAGTGGTTCATGCATAGAAATTTCACAGCCATTTCGTCCTCAGCATCATAAAGAATCTGTTTCTGAGGACAATCAAAGTAATTTATTTTGTCCTATTGTGCTATATTTCCCTTTGTGAAGGGAAGGCGGAGTCATCCTTCCCAAAGGGTACTGCCTGTGATGTTGCTGATGACCACGTTCTTTAAGTCTCCACTCCATGACAAGAACAAAGAGTTGAAATGTTTCTGATTATCTTTCTCTGTTGATTTACTTCCAGATTTACATCAAGCAGTGGTGCCTTTTAAGTGCTATGTGTACTTCGAATATTTCCACCAAGGAAATGGACGTGAACGGTGCTTTCTTGCTAATAGAAACCAAGATTAATAAACTTTTAGATGCACTCTGATGATGGACACACAGCCTGATCTGGTCATCCTGAATTGCATTTCTGTCTTTGCTTGGGACCATGGTTCTCGAGCCTGTGTCACACGTGTGTTGAAATGACACCGTTCTCTAAATATAGTGTACTTCTTGTCAATGATCTGACTTTGTGCTTTAATTATTTTAGACAAATACTTACACTGACAAATATACTTAATAGTCTACTGTAATAGGAAGATATGGTACGTTTCTCATTCCTAGATTCCAGGGGCGCAGTGAGAAGGGCATAATGGTTACAGCTTTCGCTCGTCACTTTGAAGACCCGTGTTCGATTCCACACATGGTGTGAAGCAATCTCGTGTCCTTCGCCGTGGTATTGCTGGAATATTGCTAACAGCGGCGTAAAACGGAACTAACTAACTCACTCACACCTAACCGCATGGTATATGGCGAATGTGGCAGATTTCCTTTGTATATCAATTCTCAAATAAGATGTTTAAAATATTGGTTTAAGGTTCTAAATATGCACGAACAACGTCTGCCAAAATTAGCTTACAATATGCTTTTAAATCTGGATAATTTGGGAAAACACACACTTTTTCTGAGGACAATTCTGTGGATTGCGTGATGTGATAGAATGTTTATACAAGTTTATCGATGTGCCCGTCAAAGTGGTAAATTGTCTGTTGGAACCAAATACGTCGTCCAATAATAGTCAGGAATGATTCCGATATGCTGATAAAATGTTGTAAATTGTCCAGATTATAGATTCATGTAAAGGTTGTGATCCAGCGTGTTTGAGGCGCCGGGATCAAGCCCACCTGTGACCAGGTGTAAAACCCTTGGAGTTAACTTTTATGTGCAGATTCTTTAAGTGTTGTCGCAACCCCTAGTGTACAGTACACAACCCCGTGCACTTAAACGAAGCCATGAATCCGTTGGTAAACGAATATGTGCAAACACCTAGTTGCAGGTACAGCAACGTACAGTGAACTTGGACAGAGTACTATGACTATGTGTCCCAGTCCTCCCAGCTGTAAATGGGTACCTCGTAAGGATGAGAAAAGTTGTATGATCCCAAAGGAGTTGAGATTGATTGATTGAGGAGAAAATCCAGCGCCTTGAGAGAATGTACTAGTTCCGTGGATATGTGCCCTATATAACTATCCTATCCTGTACAGTTATCAACACGCTCTCTCTTTTCGGTCGCCAGCATGACAAGCGTTTGAAATATGACAAGAGCATCAATACCTTTCACTACCTTTTACTTCACTACATATCAGTACTTCCAAAGACTCACGTCACTGGACCCGAAGACGAGGCACACAGAAGGAGAACACCTCTCAGCCCTCTCGGGATTCACAGCACCTGGAGGCACAATTTACAGACACACAACAGATTCTTCTCACATCTGCCGAACATTAAACGAACATGAGGCATACCCTTCAACGTGTCATGTATGGATTGAACAAACGAGAAAGATAATCCACCAAATGAAAGAACCAAATGGAGATTCTACTGGAAGGATACTTCAATGTCTATTAAAACAACGATAAACAGAGGACACTAATCCACACCAGATCACTACTTGAGAATATGAGGGCATCAGAAGATCAAACAATCCAAATCACTAGTTTTACATCCACCATGAGGCAAAACAAGCACACAAACTGAAATGTCAAAATTCAAATAGCAACAAGCCAGGCAGTTTCTGGTTTTTACAATATTTGTGGAAAAAGGTAGAAAACAAACATATTTCCATCAGTAGAAGACAAAACTCACGAAAGTAGTCTTTCAGCAACCAGCTGCTTAACCCTACCTCCGTGTCTGAGTTAACATGGGAAGGCAATCAGAATACTTTCCTCAAGTAAATATTGCAAGCAGGTAAGAAACAACCAGGAGGTTATTCAATTCACATCAGCAGGAGGTTACCCTTGATATTAGCAGGATCGTGCAATTCCACAAAGGCAGCAAGCTTCCCTTCACTCCAGCAGGGACCTGACATTCATGTGATAAAGGAATATTTAACAGAGAATTTGGTAAGTTGAGAAGAAGGGACTTGAAGACTATGACAGTAAATTATGCAAACAGTCCCTTCCACCTACCAGGGCTTGCATGGACAAGCTAACCGTTGTACACTACTGGCCTTTAGCAGGAGGATGTTCTCAGCAGCAGGAGGAGGTACCCTTCACACCAGCAGCAGATTTCATCACAGGTATGAGGTTTCCCTTGACACAGGCATGGGGTTTCCCTTTACACCACCAGGTGTGTTTTCGGCAGCATTTTCTAGTACTTTGGGAGTGAGATCCATCAGGAGTAGTGCCAACATTCATAAGTTAGGCACCAACATTGCTCGTACACAAAATGCCTATGAAATGCTCACCATTTACTAATTGAGCTGCTGGTTAGCAAATGAGGCATGTTTGTGCTTGTGATCAGGAAATAATGCAAGAACAGGGTTCCATTGAATAATGTCAATGATGCGGAGTAGTAGTTCGAGTTAGATGTCAACACGAATTACCTTTGTTTGCAAGCTGGATGGAATAGTTATTGCTATTATGCTGTTTAATCTTCCTCGCGATAGAGCCGAAAATCTCAGAACCTATACTCATATCATGTAAAATGCAACAATGAAAAATATGGAGTTATTTCACTTTGACCACACATTTATCAGCAAAACACTGTGCCAATATGTTGAGTGTAAACATTACCAAGAACTGCCATGGACCCATAACTGGCATCAATGTCTATATAAACCTAAACAAGTGGAGACTATAAAGAGGGGGTAAACTTAGACTTCACTATACATACATATCTGTGTACTTCAAAGACTCTCTTCACTGCAACCGGTGATGACTCACACCTTCAGAACATTTAATGAACATACAGGATAGCCCTTCAAAGTGTCGTCATGTATGGATCAGACATACAAGAAGAATAATCCAGCAAAATGAAAGAACCAAATGGAGATTCCACTTGGAAGGATGCTTCTATGTCTATTAAAACAAAGTTAAGCAGAGGCCACTTATTCACACTAGATCACACATGAGAATATGAGAGGCACCAGAAGATCAAAGCAATCCATATCATTAGTTTACGTTCACCTTGAGACAACACAAGCATACAAACTGAAATATCAAAAATCCAAATATCAACCAGCTAGGCAGTTTCTGGTATTTAAAATATTTGTCTAAAAGGTGGACAACAAGCTTCCTCCCATCAGTAGAACAAAACTGAGTCAAAGCAGTCTTTCAGCAACCAGCTGCTTGACCCTACCTCCGTGTCTGAGATAACATAGGAAGGCAATCAGAATACTTTCCTTAAGTAACTATTGCAAGCAGGTAAGAAACAACCAGGAGGTTATTCAATTCACATCAGCAGGAGGTTACCCTTGATATTAGCAGGATCGTGCAATTCACAAAGGCAGCAAGCTTCCCTTCACTCCAGCAGGGACCTGACATTCATGTGATAAAGGAATATTTAACAGAGAGTTTGGTAAAGTTGAGAAGTAGGGACTTGAAGACAAAAGTTCCTTTACTATGACAGGTATATTATGCAAACAGTCCCTTCCACCTACCAGGAGCTTGCATGGACAAGCTAACCGTTGTACACTACTGGCCTTTAGCAGGAGGATGTTCTCAGCAGCAGGAGGAGGTACCCTTCACACCAACAGCAGATTTCTCATCACAGCATGTGGTTTCCCTTGACACAAGCATGGGGTTTCCCTTTACACCACCAGGTGTGTTTTCGGCAGCATTTTCTAGTACTTTGGGAGTGAGATCCATCAGGGAGTAGAGCCAACATTCATAAGTGAGGCACCAACTTGCTCGTTACACAAAATGCCTATGATTTGCTCACCATTTACTAATTGAGCTGCTGGTTATGGAAATGAGGCATGTTTGTGCTTGTGATCAGGAAATAATGCAAAAACAGGGTTCCATTGAATAATGTCAATGATGCGGAGTAGTTCAAGGTTAGATGTCAACACGAATTACCTTTGTTTTGCAAGCTGGATGGAATAGTTGTGCTATTATGCTGTTTAATCTTCCTCGCGATAGAACCGAAAATCTCAGAACCTATACTCATATCATGTAAAATGCAACAATGAAAAAATATGGAGTTATTTCACTTTGACCACACATTTATCAAGCAAAACACTGTGCCAATATGTTGAGGTAAACATTACCAAGAGCTGCCATGGACCCATAACTGGCATCAATGTCTATATAAACCTAAACAAGAGGAGACTATAAAAAGAGGGGTAAACTTAGACTTCACTATACATATCTGTACTTCCAAAGACTCTCTTCACTGCAACCGATGATGACTCACACCTTCAAGAACATTTAATGAACATGCAGGATAGCCCTTCAAAGTGTCATGTATGGATCAGACATACAAGAAGAATAATCCAGCAAAATGAAAGAACCAAATGGAGATTCCACTGGAAGGATGCTTCTATGTCTATTAAAACAAAGTTAAAGCAAAGGCCACTTATTCACACCAGATCACATGAGAATATGAAGGCACCAGAAGATCAAGCAATCCATATCATTAGTTTACGTCCACCTTGAGACAACACAAGCATACAAACTGAAATATCAAAAAATCCAAATATCAACCAGCTAGGGGATTTTCTGGTATTTAAAATATTTGTCTAAAAGGTGGACAACAAGCTTCCTCCCATCAGTAGAACAAAGAGCTGATCAAAGCAGTCTTTCAGCAACCAGCAGCTTAACCCTACCTCCGTGTCTGAGATAACATAGGAAGGCAATCAGAATACTTTCCTCAAGTAAATATTGCAAGCAGGTAAGAAACAACCAGGAGGTTATTCTTGATTCTTGCAGGATGTTCAGCTTCACACAAAGCAGCATACTTCAATTCACATCAGCGGGAGGTTACCCTTGATATTATCAGAATGGTTCAATTCACATAGGCAGCAAGCTTCTCTTCACTCCAACAGGGACCTGACAGTCATGTGATAAAGGAATACTTAACACAGAGTTTGCTAAGTTGAAAAGTAGGAGACTTGAAGTCAAGGCTTCCTTATTATGACAGTAAATTGTGCAAATAGTCCCTTCAACCAACCAGGAGTATGCAAGGGCAAACTAACCTTTTAGCACTAGTGGCCTTTAGCAGGAGGATGTTCGCAGCAGCA